TTCGTTCCAGACGCCTCAAAGGGTATGCCTACTTGTTCACCTACCACTCAGAACAGCATACAAAAAGCCAAAGTAATTCAGGACCTACAAGAGGCGCAGACATTCTGAGGGGATCGTAAAAACCGCATGTCATTACATCATACTACTTGGACTGCCACGCCATTGGTTCCTCCAATTTACAAACGCGATTTGAATGAGGATACGAACACTGCCTACGAAGGGCTCCGCATAGCTTATTGGGAGAACGTAGTTCGATTTGCCTATGAAAATGGCTAGCAAGCATGACCATCAACAACAATAATGTTATTCTTTCTTCACCTCACAACGCTTGTACTCTAGATTCGAAATTTTAATCGACCTAATGACAATTATTGCAGCTGTTGTTGCTCTTAAAACGACCTCATTTCATGATGTGTTCATTGGTAATTAGGCCATTATTTTAGGCAAAACCCGTAACATCCAATCAAATTAGATAACCAATGACATCATTTCGCATTTTTGTACTTTCGTATATATAGAAGTATTGTAGACGAGCGATCGATTTCATTTTAACAGCGCCACAGTAGCAGACGGCAGTATGTCGAGCAAACAATTCGTGAAGAAAGTTTGCAGAGTCCATCAACGGACCAAGGCAACGTCGAATCGACGGTCCGTATGGATGAAGAGAGGTGAGTAACACTCAGTCTTCAAATTTATTGAGAGCTTTTGCCATGATTCGAGAGTAACACAGAAAATACTGGTGTAGAGAGAACAACTTTGACTTCACGTCTCGTAGTGGGTTGCTTCAGAAGAAATCACAATTCGATCCTAATCCTGTCAAAGGTGAACTAAATCCTACTAATTAAGAGGAGGAAAATGAGCATTTATGGAGTGCTATCTACCCAAAAGGCATGAAACCGAACAAATGGATTTATCTACGTCAGAATTGCGGTTGATAGCACTCGTGTACTGCACGTGTACGTGCCATGAGATGAAATCAACACCCGTAGCAATTATGTTAGCTACTTCTCTATAAAAGCGCTTTTGAGATAGCTGATTTCCACACTCTAAGTACCTTGATTACTTGCCAAAGGGAAAATAGTAAATCACTTCGAGTCATTCTTCTTTATCCATTTAAATACCTCTTGAACTCTTATTTACATTTTAGCGGAGACAACTTTGTCAATTTGCTGCCGACTCTAAAGCGGTATCTGGACGGCCTTTGCAGGACCATTGAGAATATTTCAAGAGGGGCGCATCGTTACTACTTGAAAGACAACGCAAGGATCCAAGTTATCTCCTTTCTTCTCGATAATGGACCACTTCTCAATATTTTGGCTGAAGTCAACCCAACTGTTGAAGGCATTTTTAACCGTCTAAGAGCGTATGAGAAAATGAAGGCCTTCGTTCCAAGCCGGAGATGCAGAGGTGGAAAGTATAAATTTTGCTATGACAGGAAAATAGTTGCTCTGATTTAATGTCTCATTTTGCAAGCGAATTTGAATCGAGGACTCAATTACTCTTTTGACACAGCCACAAATGCCGGTCATACCTTTAATGGGCAGCATTCTTATCTTCACCACATGCTCAGCTTGGGCCAGTAACTACCTTGTGTATATATGCCAAGAAAGTGTGGATTGGGGGCCAAGTAGTAGTGAGGCATTGCACTGTCTTCATCTTCAAATTAAGTGCTCAAAATAAGAACCGCGAGGAGAAGGAGGCCTATTCGGAGCGGACAAAAAGAGGAGCAATAAGCACTAAACTTGTGATGTGATAAGGTGGCAGCGTAAAGCACAAATGAATATAACAGAACCGTGCACAGATTAGAGAATGAGGAATTGCATGAAGAATGCAGAAAATTAAGTTGTTATGGATAATCCATAATATATCACTAAAGCCACTCTTGTTTGGGGATTGACGGAGTTTAGGCCAACATTACTTCTCCATTATACTAGAAAGGACCAACGCTTTTATTCATCATTTCTTTATGCAGTGTGAGAGATCACACAGACGATAACCGTTGAAGACTAGATTTCATGTGTGGCATTGATTAGAGTATAAGGTGAGGAAAGCTTAGCCACTCTCGCATTGTTCAGCTTACGCGTGATCTGGGAAATAACAGCACACGATATCATGTAAATTGCATGCCCAACTGTCAATCGTCACAGCCACCACCACCACCTCATGCGAATTTTAAATTTGGTTTCCAAACTTCTCACCAATCGGTGCATCTTTTCCTACAGTTGCATTGGCCACATTGGTTACCTGAACAGAACCTTATGTGCTTATGATAAATTCGTGGCGAAACTAGAAATTGGTCAGAGGACTATACTGTCTGCTTCGTCTACCTTCCACGCCAAGAAGGCTTTCCAGATGTTTTATCTCAAATATGTTCGCCAGATTCAAGCTATTGCTCCATATCATGAGTCGGCACGGTTTGCTATACGTGCTTGTCGTCGACTGAGGAGAGAATGGATTGACAATGCGCTCAACGAGGGCATAAGGCCTGAGGTGTTGGAGTCTTGCAGTATTTGATAAAAGTCAAAGCAGCGCTTCCGATCGACCTGCGGAAAACTGGCGAGCACAGTTACATCCAGTGAATTCATTGTGAAACAGGTCTGAATATTGCTTTTTCCTTTCTACCTTCCTTCCTTCCTTAGATCTACTTATGCACGGGGCCGAAACAATTCTTGTTCTTTATCACGTCGACACTTTGCTCCTACGGAGCTAATTCATGCCTCTCTATGTCCTTCAATCCTCGTTCTCTCCACATTCACAACACATCTCAACTTCCATAAATCGCAATACTCCAGCATATTTGAAAGTCTCAAGTTTGCGTTCAGATGTCAGGTTGAACAGGTTTTCTTCATTGAGTCCAAAATATTATAGGCACATGGGCATTATCGACTCTGTTGTAGAGAATTAATGAAGAATGGAGATCGGTCCAGGGTTTGGAATTATGGGAGTTTGAATTCTGTAAACGGCAGATTCCAAGGTACTCCCCAACGAATCCGTAGTAGAAAAATACTACCCTACGAGGCATAACAGCGTCACAAAACTTCTGATCATATGTCAAAGACCATTGTAGTATGTGGCTTATATCCCAATCACATTCAATGACTTTACGGAGGTCGTTCAGCTGCATAACATATAGAGTCAATGTCTCAGATTTGCACCTATAGTAACGCGAATTGTTCTTCATCCAA